GGGATGTCATCTTTCTCATCAGCGGTTTGAAAGATGCAGGAAGTCCGGGAGTCACGCGATGACAGCAAAACACAGGAGTTATCAGAATCCACGGACATCTTCGGCCATATCTGCGGGACATCAAAGAGGGGGAGTTAAAAAAACAACCTTCACACAGGTGTGCAGCAGCTCTCTGTGTACCTGGTGTTTCCCACTAAGACTTCTGTATGCAGCTTCCCAGGCTTAGTTTCTGCAGGTTAGCCCGTTTGTGTGCGTTAGTCCTGCCTGACATCATTACCTACCAGCCTGTTAGCCAGGTAGTGGTTTTTGTGACTGCATGTAGGCCTGCACTCTCTACAAGGTCACGCTGTATGAGAGTCTCACCTGGTTAAAGAAATGTTAACAGACATTTGTTTAACTTACTGTCCCTGTTAACAATCCTACAAATTCACTCTGCTAATAAAGAAATGTTACTTAAACGGAAGCTTGTAGCATTGGCTTGTTAGTGCTGCGTACTAGCGCACGCAGGCTTTCACGTGAAGACAGTCACACAGCGATAAAAAGAAACAAAAAATGTCAAGAAGCTGTTGTGTTATTAGCTCCAACAGCCGGTCGCATGACAGCCACGGGAAGCCGACGGTAAAGAGATCGTTGTTATCGGATTCCGTCGTGGAAGAAAAATAGTTCAAACCGAGTTTCCGAAGTAACAAAGAGGCGACGGACGGCCTGGATTGCAGCCGTTCGAAGAGCAAATATAACGTCCCAGAACGCTCCAGCTCACAGGTCAGTCTGCTCCAAGCATTCCCACAGAGGTCAGTCTGCTGTTGTAGTTATTACGTCGTTTATCATAATTGGTGATGTAGGTTACAAATAAGTCTTAATTTGAATTGAATTAGTTGCTTTGCTGCTTTGTTCATGGTGGCTTTGCGGGCTAATGTTTGTTGTGCTTTGTAGGAAAAGCAGCCTACAAAATGCTGGGATGCGATCCAGACTGGGCCCCTCTATCAGCCTGGGTTTCAAGTTGCTACCACAGCCAGATCTGATTGGTTAAGAGAGAGAGCGAGATCAAAACAGCCACGTCTGCATATATGTGCCCAAGTGTTGTATGAAGCAAGTGATGAATAACTGTCTCAGTTTGTTGTTTGATGTTTTGTTTTTGCATTGTTGATTTGTTTTTCAGCGAAGCAGCTAATAAAGCTGATGGATTTTTACAATGTTGCCTCTTTGCTGTGAGATTCTGTAACAGAATGAAACAATGATGCCAGTAATAAATAAAGACAATGAATTGAATGAATTACCAAACCTGAAACGACACATAGATGCGTTGGCCTGTAACAGCAGCTGTGAGATGGAGTCGTCCAAACCACCAAAGTAAACTGGAGCTGGGCTTGTTGCAGGATCTGATGTTACTAAACATGTTGTGAGTGTGTGCGCTCTCACTTAGGACCATATAATAATAAATGTGTGCGTGATGAAAGTTGTGCAGCACGCTGACGTCCTTACTCCACTCTGTGCTCGTGTGGGTCTGACCCTTTCACTCCTTTGATTTCTTCCTCGTACTTTCTTTGACTCTTCGTCACGTCTGTCTTCGTGCGGAGCTGCCGAGTTCTCCGTCGTTTTGTACAGAACTGTTTTTGGGGCAAATAAAATGCAAGTGGGGATTAAAACCGCAGAATTAATGGTTACCGGTGCTGGAAATGCTGGCGCTTGATGCAGTGTTTTGACTTTGTTGCCACTCGTACCCACAATGCAACGCACGAAAGTCACGTGGTCTGTCGATCTCATAACACTACTTTGGTAATTGTGTTAGCTGGTGAACTACTGTTAAGAAACTCGTCTTCATTAATTAGTTATTGCAGAATTACAATATCCAGAATGTGGAGTTCTAAGTTGAATTAGCAGGTTTCATCTTATAAATTAGCTGTTTAATTAGTAATGCTGCTTGTTACTTTGGTTGACAGTATCTTACGGGTCAAACCAGTTAGTTGGTTAGCTGGTAAGTGGTGGTAACAGTCACACTGCATGGCAGTCAGATGATATTAGCTAACATTAGAATAGAATAATCATTTAATTGTCCCACAAGGGGAAATTTGGTTCAGCTTGTAATGCTTTGTTCATGCTGTTAGCTAGCATAGTGGAAAAACTAGTTAATGGAGAGCCAGCCATGTTGTCATGGCAACCAATGGTACCACTGTATGTGCAGTGTTGGGGAGTAACGGAATACATGTACCGCCGTTACGTATTTAAAATACAAAATACGAGTAACTGTATTCCGTTACAGTTACCGTTTAAAAAGGTGGTATTCAGAATACAGTTACTTTGTTGAAATAAATGGATTACACGGCGGTACTTCCCTGTTTCATATTGTGGCGGGTCAGGACTGTTTGGTTTTGTTTGACAGCTACGTTCTGTTGTTCCAGGCGGCAGCGTTACGGTTGCCATGGTTACAGGGTGACGCTCTCTCTCTGCGTGTTTCCTGGGTGAGAGAGCGCCTTTTTGTTGTTGTTGTTGTGCTAAGCTAACAGGCAGAATGCTACAGACATAGCCCTAAAGAACGTAGCCTCATGGACAGTGTAGTCCGTGCTGCAGGGAGAATGGACCGCCATACCCGTTATGTGTCTGTGAGCAAGAGGAGGGAGAAAAAGGAAAAGTACGAGCTGTCATCGAGCAAAAACGGGAGCTGGAAGCATGCAAATATAATAATAACCACTGCAGCCAAGACGAGTGCCTGTTTTAAGTAAGCTATTAAGACTCGACTGTACACCGTGTTCGTGTTTTCCTCCGAAAACAATAAGTTCTGTTGGAGCAGCCTTTCAACGCCTCTCTCTGTCTCTCGCTAGCAAAGTTGACCCAGACAACAAAGTAAAGCTAGTTTTCAGCTACGAGCCCGACAGGGACCCCGATGTATTAGCCAGAGGTCCCTTTACTACAGTTCGGAGCCGCGGACCTTCAGTAATAGTAATAAATAACACAGCAATAGTACATTCACGTTGTTGTAAACAGCATGATAATATATTAAGTAATCCAAAGTATTCAGAATATGTTACTCTCATTGAGTAACATAACGGAATACGTTACAGAATACATTTTGGGGCATGTATTCTGTAATCTGTAGTGGAATACATTTTAAAAGTAACCTTCCCAACACTGTGTATGTGTAAAACAGGCTAATTTAAAGTCTAATTTCTAAACAGGCTAATTTAAAGTCTAATTTCTAAACAGGCTAATT